TGGCATTATATTGGTTAGCTTTTGCTGCATAGCAAATTCCTACAAAATTTAGTGGCTTAAAATAGTACATATTTACTCTCTCACTGTCAATCATGTAGACATGAGTTTTATTCCTCTACATTAATATCTCTTACAGGTTGCAATGGTGGTGTCAGGGCTATAGTCTTATATGAAGGCTCCACTGGGGGAAAACTTCTCCTCCCAGAATTACATGGTTCTTAGCTGGATTTAGGACCTCTAATATTGTTGGACTGAGGGCCTTAGTTCCTCACTGGCTGTTGACTGGAAATGCTCTTCAGATCTTTGCTAGGTGGGCCTTTCTATTGGCAGCAGGGCATTGTGCATGATCGGGGGTTGGGGGGCATGTGAGGGGAGAGAGATTCAGAGAGGTGGAAGAACAGAGAGAGCGTAAAAGATGACAGTTATAATGCTTTATAACCTATTCTCAGAAGTGACCTCCATCCCTTTGTTATATTCTATTCATTAAAGGCAAGTCACTGGCTCCAGCCCAAGGTCAAGGGGAGAGAATTACACAGGGAATAAATGCTAAGAGGGAATGATCGTTAGAGGTCACAGAGGGGTCATCATTAGGTGTCATTAGTGGTCATTACCACTATAGGTAAGATCATGCTATTTGTCAGTACACAGGTCAATTCCTCACCCTTCTGTGTTCTTCTGAGTTGGGGCAAATGAACACATTAATACTAGACAGATTACTAGAGCAAAAGTTAACACATAATAACATATGTATGAAGACTTTCAATTTGAAAGTAAAATGGGTTTACTGGGTTTATATCCTGTGCTAAAGGACCTGGGTCCAGAAAAGAGGAGGGTACTTCTCATTGATGAGGAAGTGATGTTTTCATCTTTAAAGGTAAAAATATGATATTCTCAGATAGAGAGGATAGGCTCACTGACAAACCTATATGGTAAGATCCCCAAATGACAGTCTTCTAGGTCATTCCAGGGAATAGTGATCACTTATCAGATTAAGAATAAAGCAGAGGGATTAGGGGAAAGGTAAAAGCTTCTTCTTACCGTTAGGGCATTGATTGAGTCTAGTTACACATACCAAGGTGATAGATATTGGAAAAGACCTGCTTGAATCATTTTTGAAAAAATTTATCTGACCTATGTTGGAAGACTGAATCCATGCATTTTAGTTTTATATTAATTGTATAGATTGTACTGAGTATATGACATTGTTCAATATATGCTTGCAAAATTGATTAGTCACAAATCTCTGTCATAAATATGAAGTATATTTTATCAAACACACCAAATTTCCAGAATAACTTCCCAAATCACAGTGCATGTCAATGTAAAAAGCATGCAAATATAATCCAAGATCTATTATGAATCGGTGGGTGAAGTTCATGTACAGAAATGAAACTTTGGGTTATAGCCAATTACATTCCTTTATTTATTTTTGTCCCATGGATATTTGAAACCCTGTATACTAAACTTAGATCTGTAAAGAAGTACTAAAATAAAAGTGTACCTACTATATCTTATTTTTTTTTTTATTTTTAACTTACTGCTCCTAATTTTTGTCACTTTAATCAGACTTGTTTTGGTTCATCAGTATAAAGAACTTTTTGGAACTTTGATCAATATATATAATAGGACATCCTTGCTTTGGCTTACATGTCAAACAACACTTGAAAATATAGCTCTATGTTCTTTTTAGAATAGAAATTTATGGAGAAAAAAAGTATTGACTCAATTTGGACTTGCTTAACTTTCTACATTTACAAGACCATTTTCTTTCCTTATGTCCATCATATTTGTCAAGTCTTTACTATGGAGAACATCTATTCTTTATCATATATGGTATAGCACAGGGCAACATTCAAGATAGAAATGAGTTGTTTGCACAGATATTGAACTGATAAATGATATTTTTTGGCTTTGCTTATGTTTGTGAGTGGTATACAAACTTCAGAAGCATAAGCAAATATCAAATCATGTATGCTTCTTAACAATTTGGGAAGAGTTCAAATGATTTTACTTTTTTCTAAGACTAGGTTTCTCTGTTTACTGTGCTAAAACTTGCTGGGAAAAAAAAAAAGTTTTTTCTTGAGTGTTTTATGAGAGAAAGAGTGTTGGGGGTGGAGGGAAGAGAAATAGAGCAAAAGAGTGAAGAGAAGCACATTTTATTTCCCTAAAGGTTTGGAGTAAAAGAAATGGAATCACTAAGCAAAAATGAATTAACTGAGTACTATACAAACCCCAAAGAGCATTTTGCAAGTTGAAGAGGGTGCAGTACCAATTATATTATTATCTCACCCTACTCTCTGGGTGAATAGTCTGAAAGCCTGAAATTACAGTTGATGTAAGATTTCTTGGCTTCATTTGCAAATTGAAGTCATTTTCTTTCTTTTCTTTTTTTTTTTTTTTGGTGAATGCTATAAACACATGTTATATTGTTTAAGAGTCGCAGTTCTTAGTTTGTTTTGATATTTCTCTCCTTTTTGTTCCCGATGTCAAAGGTCCTTTTTTTTAACCTCTTAATTTGGCTTGTTGCAAATTGATCTAACAGTATGTTTCTGAATGATTTGCAATGGTCTTAAGTACTATTTGAGCAGAGGCTTTTTGGCATTTCATTTGTTAGGAGACCAGTTCTGGAGAAGGTCCTTCAACTGGCCAGATGTGTCGTTTTGGAACAGATTGTAAGCTTGCCACAACACCATTTGTTGCCAGTACCGGATATTGTAGGGATGATCACCACCCTGTTGCCATATTTTTACACTTCTTAACATTGCATAAACAGGCAGCTGTTCTGTATTTAGAACATAAATGATTCACCAGCTAGTTCTCCCAAGAGGATTTACCTGCAAGAGGGAACCACAGTGTTAACCCATTCTTATCCCCATGCCTGACAGTGGCATTAAATGCACACTTTCCTCAGCCCATTCAGAAGCAAATCCTTATGCATATAAGTCACACCTTACTTGCCAGTTAGACAAGAGAACCAAAAAAATGTGCAGTTCACCATGCTAAACTGGAATGCAGCTTCTTAGCAGCAAAAGCAGTATATTAATCAGCTTATAAGCTGAGAGTGAGCAATTTGTGCTGAATTCTTTCTTATTGCTCTGCCAATAGTAGACAAGATGTTCTAATCTCATAAAAGGCCATGACTTCATTAAAATGGAAAACTGTGTAAAAGGCTGTGTTGTAAGAGACAAGAAAAGAAAGCCCTAAAATCTCTCAGTTGTCTCTCTGGAGCTATTTTCTGTACAGGGAATTTTTATTTATTTGGAGAGTGACAATTAACCTAGAGACTTGGCTCAAAAAGAAGCAGAGTGTTGAAGTGGTCTCATTACTGGACACCAACGGGGTTGGTTTGAATCAATCCCCTCTTGTAGTGGGTGATTTATATTACAGGCCAGCAGAAGCTGCCTAATTTTGATTTCAAAAAGCTTGGCAAATTTATGTCTCTCTGTCTATCTATCTCTCTAGACTCACACACATATATATTTTATATATGAGAGAGAGAGAGAAAATGTATGTATGTGTGTGCGTTTGTTTTACCACTATGTACAGTTAGGAAACAAACTTGTCAGTGGTGTTATATCAGAGAATAAGAAAAGACTGGCAATTAGGAAAGGTAGAAAAACTTGAGGCTTAGATGGTTTCAACTCCTTTTTGGGGAATGTTTACCCCCAAATAGACATAACCCTTATTTGTTAAAAAAAGCCCAGTGTTCTGCAATCTGATAGGGCTGACTCGTGTCTCCAGGCTTTTCATCTTGCCAGCAAAGGAAAAGTACACACAGATAGATAGGTGACATTTGGAGAGCCTGGCGTGCCAGATTTTCGGAGGTTACAACGGAGGTCCAACCTGCTGTTCTCCTAATGAAAGGAGGGGAAGTTCAGACTGGCAAAACTGCTATAAGGGATATCTCTGCTCTGAATGTCACGCTGCCCAGATGTCGCTCGGCAGGTGGAGATGCAGAGAGAATGAAAATGTAGCCCTGTGTATGTGGGTGCTAGTGCGTTACAAGGGTGAACAATGAGTCTATCTTCTGAAGTGTAATGAAAACAGTGTGGATCTTGTCCATATTCATGTCACCAGAAAGGGCTTTCTCAAAGGGTTCTCACCCCACTTTCCCTCCCAGACTGACATGCACACATGCTCACAGGCCATGTGCATGTGACTTGATTCAGGCTTTTAGTATAATTTGACACTTCATTTTAATGTATTTACATACATACATGAATATGTGTTTTCTCTTTATAGAAAATAGGACCACATGGTACAGGGTTTTTTTTTACCTTGAGTTTTTATTTCAAAACTGTATCATGAATATTTCTCATCTTATTTTTCTTAGATTTATCTCAATTTTTGAATCATATTAAACGGCATAAGTATGTGATCATCTAGCCATTCCACTAATCATGAGCATTTAGGATGTTTCTTGAGTATTTAAGATACTTAGCGCGATGTTCTCAGTAAATGTCTCCGGGACTTTTAGTGTAAACGTTACTCTTTGAAAAAGAAAGTTATACTTATAGTCATGAACCTTATTGCTGAAGAAATGAGAAGGAAGTTGTTGTCCCCCCCCCCAGTGTATTTGAAAGAAAAGAGATGTAAAAACTGTTTTTGGAGTCTGTTTTAACATTATCTGAAACACTAGTTATTTAAACTGCTTAAATTCAAATGTATGTTCAAAGTATTACAGTTTGTGCATATCACCATTTTTTTCTGTGCCTAACAAGTGCACTTAATTATTTTTCCTAATGTAACAAATGATGTTGTCCATAAAGATTTTCCAGAGACAAATCATGGCAGTGAAAGGCTCCACAAAGGTTACATAAAAAAGTTGTTGGAAAATAGGTTTGGATTATGCCATTTGTCGAATCATCTATAGAATCTTAAGTGATGTCTTCCAAAGTGGACTTTCAGAACTAATTGTTATATAATAAATGAATAATACATTCATTAGGGGAAAAAACGATTGTTTCTGAATTTTCTTTACTACAATTCTTTTTCTTTAGTGTTACGAGATGACTTCCGGCAAAATCCCACAGATGTAGTAGTGGCAGCTGGAGAGCCCGCAATTCTGGAGTGTCAGCCTCCCCGGGGACACCCAGAACCCACCATCTACTGGAAAAAAGACAAAGTTCGAATCGATGACAAGGAAGAAAGAATAAGTGTGAGTTAAATTAAATGTGTACAGAGACTGAATATCAAATCTTACAATGGATGTATTTTAATCTTTTACTTATTGTTAGCAAAATTATACAACTATATTTGAATGCTAGTTGCATTTACACTGTAAGGAAAGGACTGAAAAATGGTAAACAAAAACCAAAACTTTGGCATGAAGCCGCCAAGAGACAAATATTATATAATTCAAATGTACATGATATATGAAAAATTACACCAATCTGAATATGGAAATACATCTTTGCAGTAGAATATTGATGTTTTAGCTTTTTTTAAGATCTCCAAATGCATCTATTGATCATGCAGTACATGTGTGTTAAAGTGTAAATGATGGCCATAAACCATGTTAACTGGAACATTTCTTTTAGTACTATTTCCAAAATTTATTATGAGAGGACATAATTTAAGTTAATGAACATTTCAAACACTTTCCAATTATTAATATTTATAACTAGAATTTTATGCGTGAATTATTTTCAAAATTTAACAGATAAGGAAAATCAAAATACAAGTGACTGTTTATGCAGTTTTGTTCATGTAGAAAAATAGACTGTTTTCAAAGGAAATTGATGATGAGGTTCAGTGGCTGATTAATATTCAAAATGAAACACCCAGAAAAAGTTAAAGCAGTAGAAAAAGTGGAATGGCATGCAATCATTTTATTTATTTTTTTTTTAGAGAATTCACTCAACATTTGTATGTGAAATTTGGGAGGCCCAGTCCACTGAAATAGATAATGTATCAACGTTTTGATGTTTGTGTAATTTTTAGGTTCAGTATACAGTACTTGAGAGTGGATATATTTTATTTAAAAATAATGTCTCATTTACCTGAACAAATGTGCCATTTCTACCAAAAGTCCATGTTATCCCCCCCAAAAAAAAAAAATCTTACAAATGAGGTTTTCTTTTCTTACATTCACAACATGACACAGGAATAGGTAAGTCTTGCAGGCAATCACAACATAAATTCATATAATTCTAGGCTGAACTGTTGATACTGAAAATTCACATTGCCAAGAGGAATTTAGTTTCCTTTCTTTTTTTTTTTTCAATTTATTTATCCAAGCACTAGGTACACTCAGAAGCACGGGAGGGTGAGAGAATTCAGTAGAGCCAGAGCAGGGAACAAAACAGGCAGACTGATGAAGTACACAGCTGAGGGTAGCAGCGGGTGGCAGGAGAGGTCTGCATGCCAAGAGGAATTTGGTTTCTAAAGGCCCGCATTTGGGAAACAAGCATATGAAAATGTGCTCCTGGTGACGGAGTAAAATCAATGTTCAAAGGTTTTCTAGCTCATGTTTCTATCATTTAGCTTTTTCTTTGTAACAAGGCACCCCTAAAATATAGTGACTTACACTGTTTTATTTGGCCCAGGATAACTATGGTAAACTGACAGTTCTTTGCTCAGGACCAGCTTAGCTAGTCCTTCCCAGGCTTTCTCCTGCGTTTGTGGCCAGTTTAAAGGGATGCTGGCAGCTGCGCTGTGCGCTCTAGGATGATTTGCAGGTCTGGCAATTGACTAGCTCTCATCTGCGCTTCTCGGTTTCTTCTCTTCATGGCTTCTCGTCTTCCACCTCAGACTTGTCCCCTCAATAATCTCAAAGTTCTAACTGTGGCAAACAAAAGCAAGTCCCATTTTGCAAGAATATTTTTCTTCTGGTGAAAACATTGCTTTACTCCTACTGGTAAAATCAAGTCATACTGCCAGGCTCATGTTCAAGAGAAATGGGGTGTCCTCCCTGGTCATTTTTATGACATACTATTCATTGTGATCTACCTTATGCAATTGATAACACGTTGATGATTTTTTTATTCTATGACATAACAGGTTTCAGAGTCTGAAATATCTCTGGTGAGAATATATCTACATGAGTTCTGCTTCCCAATGAAATTAAAAAATAATGAAGGAAAACATATTCTTATCTTGTGTCTCTTCAAAAACATCATATCATTGTAAAATTAAGCTTGTTCAAAATTATATATTAGTGATCTTTCTTTTCCTTTCCTGTTTTCTTCCCTTGTTCAATTTCTTTTCTGTTTTCTTTTCCCTCATGTTAACAGATCCGTGGTGGAAAGCTGATGATCTCCAATACCAGGAAAAGTGATGCAGGGATGTATACCTGTGTTGGTACCAACATGGTGGGAGAAAGAGACAGTGATCCTGCAGAATTGACTGTCTTTGGTAAAACTCTTTTAAATTGGAAATTGCTACTTATGTCTACTTTTTCTTTGCTTTTATTTTCTTTGCTTTTAGTTTGTTCATGCTGGACACCAGACCGTGTTAGGGACAGATACTTAGAACACGTGATAAGTTGTGACATGCTAGAATTGTCTGGTTTTCTTGTTCTGCCTTTCAGATAAAATCTTTGATGTGAATGAAAAACAAAACTTCTGAAACATTAATTTAGCTTATTTAGTAACACAATTATAGGGATTTGCCTTCCATCAGAATATGAAAAATGTTCTTTCTGAAAGTCTATTTAGAATATTACATTTGTCTGAAGTTTGTCATTCCACTGTGATACATATATCAAGTTATCTGCTAGGTGTTTTAAAAATTAGAGTGCAGTTCAAAGACATTTTAAGAATTCTTTAGATTGAATATTTCAACTAATAAGCTAAAAATTGATTAAATCTATAGCATAGAAATGGAGAAAGCATTATAAAAGAGAAAATTTGGAACAAATAAACAAAAGTAAAGGGAATACTATAATGCAGTGTGAAAGACTAAAAAAGAAATACACTGATAGGAAATTGGAGAAATCCTGAAGGTATTGCAAAATGAAACATTAACTTAGTAGACATCAAAATCCCATCCAGATATCTGGATAGAGATATGTATTGCATATTCTCTCTCTCACACATACAGACACATACACACAGGTGGTTTTGTCTCTCTGTGTATTGACCTAAGTAAACCTTAGTAAAAGATTTAACTGTTGCAGAAAAAAATTTGATTTTTTTTCAAAAAGATAATTATGATGTTTATGCTTGTAAAATAATCTTCTGCTTCTGTGCATGAAAGGATGCATCCTTCACCACAAGACATGCCCACAGGTAGCATCAAAATCCTGCATAGGTTCCTAAAAAGGCCTGTGTTGCAGTTTGGGAAATGCTATCATTCAGAAACCCTATTATGGTTTACATCCATTCAGAGCATGATGATTGTGTACTGAAGTGTAGGTCTCTGGAGTAATCACTGGTAATACTCTTGGTGGACACTAAGCAGCTTGAAGTCCCAAATGACAAAGCCAGGAGAAATGCCATAATTTGTTAAAGGCATTGACTATAAAAATGAAATTGTTCAGGGCCTCCCTGGTGGTGCACGGGTTAAAGTCTCAGCACTAACAAGCTAGCACCAGCCACTGTGGGCATGAGTTCAAGCCCTGGTCAGGGAGCTAACCCACATGGCACAGCAGACCTCCCCCCTCTCACCTGCTGCTCCCCTCAGTATTTCAGTTAGTCTGCTTGTTCTGTTCCCCACTCTTCTCTGATGAATCCTCTCAACACCACTACCACACCCCGCCCATCACTGGCCTACCACCCAGATCTTATATGCCTAAATAAAATTAAAAATAAAATAAAATTGTTCAAAATATGCATGTACATTTCTGTACTGCAGAGTTCAGACAAGTATCAGTTTGCCTTAAATTTCATTCAGTCATCTAGAAGGGTCCCAAAATATGCTTTGTCTGTAATGGAAAAAATACAGTTTTGCCTGGAAAGATATAAAATTAGTGGCCACTGAACATTAACATTGAAAACCAACAAGTACAGCTATTCTATTTAAAGAAACATACATTGCTATTTTTTTTTTTTCTAGAGCATAAGCTTTGGAGTAGAAAATGTTGCATTACACTGGTAAATTCTGCCTTTAGAAAGAAATTGAAAGGATTTAATGTCATTACCAAGCAATCAGACTTACCAATAATGTGCCTGTGTCATGAAATATTTATCATACTTTCCCTAAAGTCATGACAAGAACTGCAGGAGATCCCTAAACATGTCAGGAGTTACAGGAGAACTTCTAAATTATTTTGAAAATAGCCATAAACCAAAGAGATTGAATTTGTTCTAGAGGCAGTACCTCAGGACGAATTGATTTAGGAAGCTGAGAAACAGTGATCGGATGGTATAAACTAGTCAAAATTGACCTAAGGGTTTATAAATACAAAATTAAGTTGAGGGAAAAAAATAAAAATCCCATTATTGGTTAAAAAAAAAAACAACACCTAAACCCAGAAATAAAACATAAATGTTGTAGTGATGAGCCAAGTCAAGGATATGACAAGTTTTGCATGAAAGAGACTCCTTCTGCAGCTTGATTCCCCAATGCATAGTAATATAAAAATAAATAGTATGCTTGATGACATAAACACAACCAGTATGGTATGAAATCTGCATTTCTTTGGTGTTCTTGGATCCCAGTACAATTTTTGCTTATAAACCTCATTATATTTCCTCATTGGCAAATACTATTATTTCTGACCTAAGTTTTACAAATATAAACATCATTACATTTTCCCCTCCTTTTCAATTTTATTTTCATGTAGCAACAATTCTACTTTAAACAATCTGGCTCCTGTAACCACTGTAGCTATGGGACATTTAAAAATATCCTTGAAGCTCAGTCTTTACTTCAAGATGTTTATACTGAAAAAGTAACTGGTAATATATACTTGTTCAGAAAATTCACTTATAAATGGCAAGAAATACAGTGGAAAGAATAAAAGGTTCTTGCCTATACAAGAGTATACGAGAGTGATCTGCCAGTATTTTGATTTTTTAAATAAGTGAGCTTAGACTTGGAAGTATTTTAGTTTGAAAGCTGCAGTTGATATATTGTATTAAAGGGATCCATTATATGGTGAAGAATAGAATTAGACTTGATTGGTGAACTTAAAATATTGATTTATAATGATGTACACCTGAAAATTTTATAATGATGCAATGTTACTTTAATTAAAAATCAGAACTTATACATAAAAATGGTATATAAATCTTGCCTGTAGGCAAAAACATGATCAGTATAGCTCAACTTTAAAAATATTTCTGAGCCATCTTCAATAAATCACTTTTCTGTTTGTCCTTCTTTATTATTTGCTGTCCATAGAATAATATCCTAATTAAGTGGGCAGGACCTTGTCTAAATATCAGAAATAATTATCAAATCCTAAATGGACACTAAAATCTCTGGCACTGTCTGAAAATTTCAATGAGAACCCTAGATAGCACTTCACTTATGTTAATTATACTCTAAAGATTCTGAAGAGACAGAAAGTATAGTTAAAGTTTATAATTAAATATCTAATTATTGGGATATCCCTTGTTCAAAATTAACTGTCATTAATAATCAACTAAAAACTGGGCCTCCCGTGGTGGCGCAGTGGTTGAGCACTGGGCTGCGAAGCTCCCCGCATCCTCTGCAGCGCTGGTTCAAAGGTCCCACATGGCGCACAGACTTTGCTGCTCCCCTCAGCAGTGTACTTCATCAGTCTGCCTGTTCTGTTCCCCACTGTCTCTGGTGAATCCTCTCACCCTCCCGCACTTCTGACTGTACCCAGTCCTTGTATAAATAAATAAATAAAATCTTTTAAAAAAATAATCAGCCAAAAACAAATTGAATTTTTCAAATGCTTTTTCAGAGTAACACAGAAAAAAAAATTGCATGCTTCATTTCAAATACAAATTATTAGTATTACAAAAACATAATGAAATACAGAAATATTTTGCCTTCCCAAACACACACATACACACACACACACTCACACTCACACTTCTCATCTTTGAACATCTTTGTGAGCCTATTTTATCTTTCTGTTGTGGGATTTATTTCCATATGCATTTGCTTATTATGCAAATTTATTCATTATTTTGACTTCCTATTTTGAAAGATTATTTGACTCCTATATCCTCTTTCCCCTCTTCTCATCTTTACTTTCCCTTCCTTTTGTTCTCCTATTATATTGGCTTTAGAAATTTTGGTCATATGAATTAATGTAATCATGTAAATATTGTCAACTGTGAGCTAAGTGGCATTTATTTTCTACCATTATATCTGCTTTCTTTGAATTAATAATAAATGTTTTTTCTTTTATTTGTTTTTCTATATATCTGTTGTAAATTTTTCTTGAAATCTCTACTGCACATTTAAAATCCTATAAATTGGATTAACTACTTAGTTCCACTGGGGGACTCCTGCCCATTTTGACTAGACTGAATGCCACTTAGATCTGCTTGAGAAATGCCATCCTGGTATTCACTTACCCTTTTCTTCAATTATGGATTCTATTTCCTGTGTTCCATAGTCAGTTCTTTCTTAGTTAACTCCTATATTCTGCACAATATTTCTCTCCTGCCTTCTGCTTGAGTGGAGCCTCAAGTACATTACAGACCAAAGTGTCTTTATTAAAAATTTAATTAATACTTTGGTTATAAAAGTCTACTTTTTTATTTTTATTTATGCATACAAGAACTGGGGTGTAGGCCATAGGTGCAGGGGGTGAGTGGATTCACCAGAGATAGAGTGGGGAGCAGAACAGGCGGATCTACTGAAATACACTGATGAGGGGAGCAGTGGATGAGACAGGAGAGGTCTGCTCTGCCATGTGGGTTAACTCCCTGGCAGGAATAGAACTCATACTGCAGTGGCTGGCAATAGCTTGGTAGCACTGAGATTTTAACCCTTGAGCCATCAGGGAGGCCCCTGTAGAATTTTATTTTTAAAATCATTTTAATTCAGAATATTAAAGTCACCCTCTAATATATAGTTATCACTGTTACCCTTGATAAGTCTACTGTCTTCTGATCTCTATACATGTGAGCACTTTTCATTTTTTTTTATCTTAGAGCCTTTTTGTTCTGTATCTCTGAAATATTTCAAATTCTAACTTGGCTTGGTACTTTTCTCTTTTACTTACTAGACTCTTATTAAGCAATCCCTCTCTAAAATAACCTCTCCATTTTTCTACTCCATTTCCATGTCAAATGTATTCACCCATGTTAAAGTTCCTTTGCCCTTTATAGTCTCTCTTTCTTCCTTATTTATAGTACTCTGTTCTTGTTTCATGAATGTTTTAACTTCTCTTGTGTCTCAAGATTTTAATAACACTCTTAAATAAAATTTTCTTGTGATGTATTCTGCTTCTATTGTTTCTAAGTTTCTTCTCCCTCTTCTCAACA